TCAACTTCCTTTCTTTCTTATTTCATTTGCGAGTGAATTATTTAGTGTTTACTTGGCCTTGTGCCATGATCCCCCTAGGATTCCTAGTCCCTCCGTTTAGGATGGGAGTAGGAGAGACATTAGGTGTTCAATCCTATGCATGACAACATTAGGGTAGGTATCCCCTTTCATCCTAACTTTAGGAGCATTGTGCATGACACTTTAGGGTCCAGTTTCCCCTTAGTTTGAGTCTTTATCTTCTCATCTCCTAAGCAATCCAAAGCACTTAATAAAGGATAATTTGTGTCGTACACTATGAGCCTTAAGTACTCGAGGAATGATGGTTGGGGGGCCTCCTCTCAATTGTCTAAAGTGTTTAGCGTATGCCCTTTGGGCGATATGCGACACATTCGCTCTCGAGTCATAGTCTTTAGTGCGACATGATTTTCAAACCATAACTCAATCCACTTCTTGTCTTAAAAAACACAAAACAAAAACATCAAATCTTTTTATCCTTCGAGATCTTAATTGGAAAACCATTTTCAAAGAGAGTATTGTTAAGCTTTGGTTCTACCGCAAACAGGCATCGTCCCTAACTGCTAGAACAAAGTTTTAACCCTACTCAGTTTAAAACACTTGAACCAACCAGTGGTCGTGTCTGCCCGAACTACGTTTGCTCTGATTTATTGTACCAGACGAGGATACATATGCACAAGACGACGATGTATTGGCGAGCAACCTTTCACCCATCACCTGTAGTTTTCCGAACTACGTTGACTCTGACTTTCCCATTCCACGAGGGAATACGTAGGTATAGAGCGGCGATGCTCTATCGAGTCTCTTTTCTTTTCTTTTGTCCCCGTGAGCCTGTAGCTTAGATAGTTTTTACACCCTTTTAGACTAGACAACAAGCGTGGATTCCGTTGAGTACAATGGACGTGAGGGATGCTCATTCTTTCCCCTTGCATAACCGACTTCCGAACCCGAGATATGGTTGCGATGACCTGTGTTTTCCCATTTTCGTTAGGTTTTCTCTGATCGTTTCCTTTCCCTCTGTCGCTACTGTGAAAATAAGGTGTCGGCAAAATAGAAGAGTCGCTACCTTTCGTTATTTATCCCACAGAAAGGGAAAGGAACGATCGGAAAAACCTGACGAAAAGGTATAAGACAAGGTCATCGCAACCATATCTGAGTTCGGGAGTCGGTTACGCAAGGGGAAGGTATTAGCACCCCTAACGTCTGTTGTACTCAACAGGATCCACGCTTGTTGTGTTTATCTGACGGATTGGTTTAACTATCTACCTATCAAGGCTGGCTCAAAAAGAAAAGAAAAACTGACTCGGCAAAGCATTGCGCCTCGTGCCTACGTATTCTCGTCAGATAAAGAGAAATCAGAGTCAACGTAGTTCGGCTAACTACGGGTTACGGATGGGGGAAGGTGGCTCGCCAATACGTCAGTATTATGCCTACATACTCTCAACAGATATGAGAGATCAGAGCTTACGTAGTTCGGGATACTACGGATTACGGGGGTTAAGATTCATCTATTTTTCTGAGTAGGGTTAACAAATAGTTCCAGCAGTTTGGTGTATGCAGCTTGCTCGTCAGATACTCGTGCGTTATCGTTTGCGGTAGAATTGAGAGTTAACGACACTCTTTTCTTCAGAAACGTTTTCCTCGAATTATGGGCCCACGGGGCAAAAGAGGTTTGAAGTTTGTTTTCTGTCTTTTATGGAAGAAGTGTTTTTTATGGATGTCTGTAGTTTGTACAGCACTAGAGAGTATGACTTAGGAGCGAATGTGTCGCATAGCGTCCAAAGGACATATACTAAACACTCTAGATGATTGAGAGGAGACCGCTCAATTATCATTTCCCAAGTGGCTTAAGGCTCGTAACGCGCTGCACTAACTTGCCTTTATTACGTTTTTTACTGTTGTTTGAAGAGAGAAGAGAATGAATTCTACGGGGAAACTGTCAAGTCCTAATGTTTTCATGCCAAGGATTCATCTTATAGTTGAGTTTGAAACAGGGAACTCTTAGATGTTATCATGCAAAGACTTCAGCCTAAAGTCTAATCATCACTGTCGCGGTGAAATTTGGATACCAAACTATTAATTAGTTTGAATCTTTAATTCAATTTGCAACCGGTCTTTGATTAGTCCAAAGGAAGGGATAAAGATCGAAATTCCCACAATGCAATGCAAATGCAAGGTAGAGAGTTATAGGTTCGGGGGTTGGTTAAACTTAGGGAAGGTGCTAGCATCCTAAGTTTCTGTAGTACTCTACAGGAACCTCTTGTTTTATGTTTGTTTTATTGCTAAGGTTTATCTGCTTAAGGGATAAAAGACCTAAGGGTTTATTTCTAAGTATACTCGATAAGATGTCACATCTTATGCCTACATATCCTTACGGGAGTGGAATCAGAGTATCTGTAGTTCCCCTAAAGGGTTGGAGGAGTTCTTTGACTGTGGTCAAAGTTCCTACGGGTTTAGGGTAGTTGATTGATTGAGTTTAGGAGAAGAGATGTGTCTTCATTTTAAGGGAGATGTAACCGCCACAAATTGTAGGAATGTAGTCTTTGCATCTTCTTAAGAGAAGGGCTCAAGTACTCGGATAGGGATCGACGAGGTACGCCTCTCTTAAGGCAAAGTTCCTACGGTATTGACTGTATTGATGTGGGGTGGAGATTCTATCTCGCTTAAGATGATTTGGCATCTTTCTCTAATGTGTTTGAATATTGAATTGAGTTGTTGAATGTTTGAATATTGTTTGATTTGTTTGTTCTAAGTTGTAAAAGAGTCCTTCCTATGGGGTAGGATCTAACTTAGAGATCAACTTGAATGGGATCAAGGATCATGTAGGGAGAATGATGCAAATGTGAATGCACTACACACAATTGTTGAATCATGTGTAGGTTTTTCCTTTGGACGGAATGCGATGCGATAATATAAATATGATAATGTAAATTGCGGATAATATTAAAATGCAGACGATAAATTGCAGAAAATAAAACCATACACACGCATGAAAGCGCTGAGGTGTGTGAGAGTGTATGTGTCGTGAATGTGAGTGTGCACGATTGCGTTGTGTTTTACGCTATTGATTGATTTTAATCGGGGTTGATTGTGGGGGAAGAAATTGTATTTGATTTTAAGTGAAATTGTTTTATTTTGATGAGATTGGTTTTATAAAAAAACTGGTATTAATTATATTAGCTATGTGTTCTAGTAAAAATTAGACAGTTAATTACATTTTAAGGAGTGGTTTAAAAAAGGTCTAAATATCTAAGAGGTTTTATTTTTATTATAAAATTAATTTAAATGTGAAAAGGTTTACCCTTAAATAAAAAATTGTTATTATAAAGGGTTGGATTAAATTAAAAGGTTTTTCATAAAAGAGTTTTTTTTAGTTATTATTATTAAATAGATTTTAAATAAATAAAAGTTAAGTTAGATGAAGTAGAGATTTTTTTATATTAAGAAAATGAATAGATATTATAAAAGGGTTATTAAGATTGATGACTAATTTAAATAGAAAGTGAATAATAAAATTATTAGATAAATTAAGTTAAAGAGTTAAAGATAAAAAAACAGATTAATTAAAATGGTTAATTTAAAAATATTTTTAATAATAAAAAAACGGTTGATTAAAGATTGATTATCGGTTAATTAATTAAATTAATATTAATGGTATAAATTGAATGATTATTATATTAATTAAAATTGATTAAAAATTGAAGTGATTATTAGATTGGTTAAGTGAGATTAACTAGGGTTAATCCACAGTTAGTGGGCTAATTAATGGTTTAAGAAGGTTAAGAGGGGTTTAGATAGTGGGGCGCAGGTGATTGGGTGTGGTAGGCTTACGAGGGTGTATGGTGAGGTGCGATTTGAGACGTATGATCGTGATCTGATAATGATTGTGTGGGTGCAAAGTGAGGGTGTACCGTGTGTCTATGGGTGTGTGTACATCTGATTGTGTTACATTAAGATACAGCAAAACAAACAAAAACAGTAAGCCCTAATTTCCTAAATTGGCCCCCCAATTCCCTCGATAGCCTCTCAGCGCCGTTCAACACCCTTCCGCCTCCGTCGCGTTCTCCCTTGTTGCATCTATCTTCTCTCTCGATCTCACTCTCTTTGTCTTCTCCATTTGTCTTTCTCCATTTCTTTCCTCTTCTCGTCGTCCTCCCTTCTTTTCGCGATTTCTGTTCAAACCTTGGGAACAAACAAAACTCAACGTAAAGCTAAAACAAAATTAAACAGAAAGTTTACTGAAAGGGAAACCAATGGTGGCTCGAAGGGCTTTTTAGATCAATGGTCGCTTGGGGGTGGTGGCGATGGCGAATCGGTGGTAGATGGTTTCGCTGGTGATGGTGAAATGATCTCGCGGTGAGCGACTTACGAAAGAGGATCCCAGCGATGGTGAAAGCGATCTCGCGTTGGGGGAAAAAGATAAGTTCTCATTCTTCTGATTTTCGATTCTAGTAGTTTAGGGTTTTATTTGGGATTTTTGATTGTTGGGGTTCGATGTTTCTGTTTTGCAATTTTTCTGGTTTATGTGCGAACTGTTGTCAGTTCTTCTTTTTTCTTCTTGTAATTTGAAGCTCCATTATATAAGGCTTGCAAGAACGATGTGAATTGAAGAGTAATGATGGGATTCCCAGATCGGGCGGATCGTGTTTGGGTTATTTTGGAAGGTAATTTAACACTTGTCCCCTGTTCTAGAAAATTTCCGTTTTGGCTTGATTGATATTGATTTTCAAATCTTTCTCCAGCTGTGATACCGGTGTAATTGTGATTCAAGGTTCTTTCCTTTTTTGTGAACTGTGGTAAATGTTGGAACTGATTCATTTTCTCATGATATTTTGTATCGCTTAGTTGTAATGTTATTTCATCTTCTCAATTCAACTTCTATTTTTTTTAAAAAAAGGCTTTGCTGTCGGTTGAGTTGTATTTCTCTTGGTGCAGTCAACATCTACTCGCTCTTATCTTTGGAAAGGTCTTCGCAACTTGAACAAATGCTCTCCCCTGCACCACATATCATGCTTTGTTTCAGAAACTTCTTGGTGATGTTGTTGTCTGTTCTCAATTTCCTTTTTCTTGTTTTAAAAGCAATACACATTAGACGAAATTGGTTTGCTGTGATGAAAATCCTCTTCAATGGATGCCTTGTCCTCTAATAAACTCATTGGATTTGAACAGGTTGAAAAAAACTACACATTTGGCTATTGGTACAATCAATGTGACAAGAGTCTAAGCCCTTTCAGTTCTAAATCATCACCTCCTTGGTTATCAATAATCATACGAGAATATCTCTTGATTGCAGCAGTTATTTGGCATCTACCGCCTGATGGAATTTTAGAGGGTGGTGATGGAACTGATGTTTTGTTGTTGTTGTTGCAGGTCTGATGTGGTATTATGCACGACGTGGTGTGGAAGGCTGTGTTGCAGATTGAAATGGTGTGCCGGACTATGGCCTTTACAGCTGACGAATGGCTACTGCTTTCGGTTCGTGTTTGTTGGTAATTTACAATTTTCCCGCTATTTCATTGATTTCAACCTGTGAATTATTAATTCGGGAGGTAACTTGGGGGGTTTCTTCTTTGCAGGGTAATGAACCAAACAATGGCTACCAGTATCGATGTTGAGGAGAGCCTAAAGGGATTTGTCTTAAGTCAAGGTGATCGTTGTGAATTCTTGGTCTGATATATAATTAAAGATAAATTGTTCTCGGTTTTGTTAACAGGGCTGGGAAGAAAATCGCGGTACTCCACTTTCGGCTTCGAATTAGATGGGTGGAAGTGATGGACCGGTAGCCTCGGGGCAGACTTGGAGTCTCGTAACAGGTACCTCCATGAAACTTTGTTTTCCTTCAAATTAGTAGTTATGTCTCAGCCATATCTATTTCTGTTACAGATTTAACATTGGTTGACTACCGTAAAATCGCCTTCCCGTCTTCTTCAAAGCTTCGAGTCAGTTAGCTCAAGGATGGTTGTTGGGTAAACTGGAAGTTGCTGTAGGCCTTGATTCTGTTTTGGAGCACCCGCAAACCTTCGAATGTCATGACAATTGTGACCATTTGGTTTTGTAGACAAATCCCCGGTGTGATTGGTTTCGGTTTTAATCACGAACCCTTAGGTATGCTGTCTGAACTGCTTTTAGTCTAATTCCAACCCTCTCCTCGTTATTCTGGTTCCTCCCTGTTTCCTTTTTGATGCTCGTTTCAGATGTGTTTATATATCCTGCCATATTGCTCATTGGTTGATGATTTATTCATTGTCAATAGGATTTTGCTGGGGGAAGTTATGCTGAAAGATGAATTCATTATGAATGTGATTTGTCAAATGAGCAGAACACGGACTTTCAACAATATGATTACCATTAACTGCATGGTTTTCTAGCCCAGAAGTTATCTCTCCAATTTTATCATGTGAATTTCGGATCCTCCATTGTAATCGATCATGTAAAGGCTTTATAGTTAGGTACTGAAGAGGCATTCATAACACGAGGCCACAGACCATATTCTGCCAGCAATCCAAGCATAGATGACATAAAGACATATCTCTCGTCCTCTGCAACTTCCAAATCATGGGCAAGTTTTAAATTTTCTTCTAGATAACCTTTCCTTCTAGCCAGATCATTAGAGGCAGATGTGATGGCTTCATTTTGCTTGTCATCAATTTCCATTCTTAATTCAGAAAATTCTCTCTCCAGTTTGCAAAAAGCGTCATACAGGAAGCTGCAATCTGTTCACGAAGGGCGAGGATCTCTTTTTCTTAGTTTTTCTTACACTTCGATTAATTCTTATTAACTGTTGAACTTTCTGATTATTGGTGTTGGCGTATTGCAGGCGAAGATGCTGCAGGGAAAGCCACAAATCGAAGTTTTAGTTCTGCTTGTTAGAGGAGTTATACAAATATGGTCGCATTTGATGGCGAACCGTGAAGACCCTGATGATGGTTTGAACAAATTGGCACCAGCTTGAGAGTTCATACTGCAGCAATAAGGAGTATTCAACGATCGTCACCTCTGCTTTGACACTATTGACCGCCGTGCATTGATAATCGTAAGCCACCTTTAGAACTGATGCTCCTTTCTTCAAGTCTCAGTTACCAAAAGAAAACCTTCAATTAGAGAGAAATTTATGTCGATACTGCAGTTACTAGCTATACTTCCCTGCTTCCGATAACTTGATTGTTTATAGCCTGATTCTTCTTCTTACCGTTTCAGGTTTTCGAGTACGCCGGAGAACGGGTGCAGTTGAATCAAGTTGCTATGGATTATAGTTTAGAAAGCAACGGTTCATAGTAGCACGGACTTGTATTATCTCTCATGAGGATACCCTTTTTTTTTTATATTCTAGCATGGAGCTTGTATTAGTTAGGACAAGGTGTAGACTTGAAATGAAGCAAAAGGCTTGTACACGAGCTTCATGAACCTAGCGTTGGCTTCATCATTCATGTTATCAAGGAAAGTTCTCAGGAAGCATACCTTCTATTGTAATGCTTTGATTAATTCTTGTAATGATTTCCTATTTTTTAGAAACTTGGAATAGCTTTTGTCTTGGATCTTCTCGACTTGTAATGAGTTAGACTTAAGAATAAATTGAACCCCCTTGATATTTGGAAATTAACTTCTTAAACTTTGGAGAAAAATCTTGTAATTCCTTTGAAGTGAGCTTTGGAAATTAACAAATCTTCACCATCTTGTTATAACATCTTCAATCGACAGTTGGTTAGGAGAAGAACCTTCTTGACGGTGTCTCGAAGATGAGTCGGATTGTACTCTCAAACATTTGGAAATCCTGTGAATATCCTTTAATTATTCTCGAATTTATTGTTAGCTTCAATCTTCCACTTTGTTGTTTGGATGAGACTCAAATTGGAATTAAATGATTAATGGTGGTATTGAAAAGTATTCCTTTGAAACTCGACTTGCAGTCCCGTAACTTCAGATTCAATCCTTAAATTTTAAATTCTTAAAATTCGAGCATTTGGACCAAAATGGAAATTTGGATTCGAGTTCTAGTCTGAGCTTGTTGAAGAATGAAAGTCTTGAAAATAAAATAATCGACATAAGCCGGGTAATGGGATGTTCACATATATGTCGATAATAGTTGTAATCCACATGAACATGACTTTAAGGATTTCTCATATCCGGATGTTACAACCTTATTATACTCACCCAGTAAATTCATATACAGTGCATTGAATCAAATCCAATGTGATACGAATTAGATTTCTCCACCGTGAACCAAATAACACCACTTGATTAAATTGCAACCACTGAACTTAAAACTCAATTGAACGATCCTCAAATATTGAAACCCAGAATTAACTTGCACTACAAATGCTTCTGTCACCGTGAGCCCATTATCTCAATTCCTGTATGAATCTTGTCTTGACAAATCTTCCTTGATAAAGTGGGGAAAAAACTTGAAAGGGGCCAAAATCCTGATTTAAAGGGATCTAATCATAAAAACTCCGCCAGAGACATCTTTAAAGCAAAATACCCAGCTCACACTCGTTAGTCGCACATAAAAGTATAATGATAAAATGTAAGGAAACGCACGAGGGGGTGGAATCCTATGGTCAAAAATTAGGGTGCAACAATCACTTCCTTATCAAAGGAAGTGAGAATCCTAGGGGATCATGTCAAGTGGGCAACAGACAGCAGACAAAGCATCAGCTAAACATCAGTAAAATAGATAAACAGAAAAGAAAACAGTAAAGATGCAAATGCTATGCAGCAATACAAGCAGAGGGAGACTCACTCAACCTCTAAGCAATCAAGCAAAGAAAACAGGCAACAACAGACAAGCAAAGGGAGGATCACCTCAACCTTTATATGCAAATACATCAATTAGAAAGGAAAAATAACACACAAGCAAGGGGAGGATCACCTCAACCCTTAAGGCAAGCAAGCAGAGGGAGACCCACTCAACCTCTTAATGCAGTCATGCACCTATACTTAGACTACCCTAAACATGAGCTACCCTAATGCAACACACCACTCAATCATGAATGAAGGAAAGGAATTATGAAAAATAAGGAATTCATTTCACAAGTAAACAAACAAGGCCTCTACCCTAAGGAAAGGAATTGAATGTTGGGAAGCAAGGGTAAGGTCCACAGGAACTTACCACAAGCACTCAACCAACTAAAAGGGATTTGGAAAGTCTTAGAGGTTTGACTCCTTTAGGAGATGTGCAAAGTTCCCCCCACAGGAGGGATTATGCTACCCCAAGAAGGTTCCTAAAATGATTGGATAAGAGAAGATTAGGAGAATGAAGATGGGAAGCAGGATAAGGTCCACAGGAACTTACCACAGGCACTCAACCAACTCCATTTCCTTAAAAAGCTTGCATAGATTCAACTCCTTTGTGAAAATGCAATGAATTCCTCCATAGGAGAAAACATGCTCACCAGGAGGATCCTAATTAAGCAAGGAAGATTTGGAGGGAAGCTAAACTTATAGGAAGAATCATCCACCTAATTTGAACTTCTAAGGAACCTCAATGATTACCTTCTAAGGATCACCTAACTAAGGATTCAAAGGCTCTATCAAGGCCTAATCAAGGTTCTAGAGAGCTATCTACCTAAGTCCTATTCTATCAAGAAAGGATTTGAAACTTAGAATTAGTTAAAGTCCACTCTAAAGACTAATCCATAAAGTTATCTTAGTTAGGGTCACCTAAACCATAATCAACTTGTAAAAAGGGGGAATAATAGAAAATCAATTCTAAAAATCTTAAGGAAAATCCTAGATGATCCTAAATGTGTTATGAATCTATGGTACAAAAACCAGGGGCCAAACCTAATCCTAAAGGTTCTAATAAAATCTAAACTCAAAGGGTGTGCTAAAGGGGATCCACCAAGGAATGCTCCTAAAGATCTATCTCAAACTCCTACTTAGAATCATCTAAAAAATACAAAAAAAATCACACTAACCTATCAAGGAGTCTATAACAAGCATGCAAAATTTCAACACCAAATTCTAATCCAAGAAATAGTACTAAAATCAGCAAGTAAACTAGTCAAGTTATGCATTTTTAATCAACTATTAAAAATAGAAAAATGCCAAATAAATGGAAAATTATCCAAAAATGAAAATAAATGCCATACAAAAATCAGAAACAAGGTAGGAATCATCCACAATTTTTCTCATATTTTTCTGATCAATAAAACTATTTTTTATGCATTTTATATGACAAAATGAATTAAAAGAAAATAGAAAAAACAATAAAGAAATTCAGAAAAGAACAAAAAGTCACAGCCACTAGATCTAATGACTGGTCAGCTAATCCAAGGGGGGAGAAATGCGCCACGTAGCCTTCAGGCTACTTAAATGAAACGACGTGTTTTGATGTGTACAACAAGCTACGCGTTTGACTTGGATACACGGTAGTCCCTAATCTCAGCCTTGCAATACAAAAGTAATCTCATCCAACGTTCAACATCTTGCCACATCATGAGTCAGCAAGTCAACACTCTTCAGAGTGATTCTCACACGCTAGATCAACATACCTAGTCAATTATCTCAAACGGATCCAACAGTGTTTGTTCATCTTTTTCATTTTGAACTGAATAAAGGGAGGGGGAAATCCAGGGTGGCCGGAGAAGACTCCGGTCGTCTTCTCTGGCAAGTTCATGGTGGCTAGGTCATTAGATACCACCAAACCTTACCAAAAACTCCAGATTTGCTCA